ACCTCTACAAAACTTCCGGTTAAATTTCGCGTGAATGCCAATTGTATGTTGGTCGGCGTGCAGTGGAATCGATTCCGCCGCGCTCGAGGCGAAGAATCGTACGCTACGCCGCCTCTCGTCCTCAGTGGCCTCGAAACCAGTTCCCCAACAGCACATGTTGAAACGCTCAAATCCAAAAATAAAACATGTCGGATCGGGTATAGTTATTTTTCAGCACAGAATCTGTATGATCCAGTTAAATTGTTTTTCATGAGCATTCTATTGTTGTTAACCTTTAGCCTCTCATACTTCAGTTAACGCTATTGATTTCAGTTCTCACCGATGCCTTAGGCCGCGTTCATAGCTTGCGACCGTGAAGAAATGCAGAAATGCGGAAACTGAAGAAGTGCGGAAATGCCGAATTGCGGAAAATCGATACGTATCGGTTGCTTTCGTCATTTCTGCAGATTCCGCATTTCCGCACTTTCCGCACTTCTGCAGTTTCCGCATTTCTGCATTTCTATATAATGCTTTTCGTCATTTCCGCAGATTCCGCATTTCTTCATTTCTGCATTTCTTCATGGTCGCAAGCTATGAACGCGGCCTTAGAGAAGTGGATGGAACTGAGTTTGTCTTATCGCTCACATTTACCACGAAAGTTCCTTCTAAATTGTCATCCGGATCGTGTAAAAAAACCCTCAACCTATGTTGTAAGGAAAGAATCTGTGAGCAGCAAAACCCTTGAGCTGTGGCCATTTTGTACAGCACATTTACAGTGAGTTGCTGTTACCATTACAAATTTAATGGAGCTCTTTCGGAATACCTTCGCAGACGTGAACGGCAAACTGGCGTTGCTCTGCGAAGACCTCTGGGAAGACTGCCATTTCCAGTAATTTTGTTCGGTAATGAGCTACCAATATTGTAGCCTTTTTTCTTTTTAGTTGCACCATATTTACTTTCTCATCTTGCCTCTACCCTGTTCTTTGATTTGCATTGTTTGCTTGTGACCTATCCGCGCGATATTTACGTCACTTGAAGTGGGTGAGTCATCCATCCTCGCCCTCCCCTTCAGTGTGATATTTTGAAATCGCTCTTCTTCCTAGGTTAGCAGCTTTCTCTTAACTTCTTAGTAACTTTTAATACTTAATTTTTTGGCACTATTTACCCTTTACTGCCCCAATCTTACGAAAACAGGCCAGTTTTCAACCGACTTTTTACTGCGTTGGCAGAATTGGCTAAAAATTTGTTCCCTGGGGTATTTTGACCTCCTGAACATGAATATCACATCCGCTCGGCACGAAACTCCCTGGCGCCCGCGCCACAGGCGCCGGCGCCAAAATACCTAAATCACCAAATTTGCTGAAAACTTGTTCCCAGGAGGTAGTCTGACCTCCTGAACACGAATACTAACCGCTTAGCCCAAAACCTGGCGCCCGCGCTAGCGCCAAAATATCCCGAATCACCGGCGCCTGTGGCGCGGGCGCCAGGAAGTTTCGGGCTAAGCGAATGTGATATTCGTATTCAGGAGGTCAAACTACCCCAGGAGACAACATTTGAGCCAAATCTGCACGGAGAAAAAAGTCGGTCAAAACTGGCTCAATTCTGGATGGTTGGGGCAGTAAAGGGTAAATAGTGCCTTATTTTTGTGAAAGGCATCCCATAAAGCAGTGGTCATATCTTGTGCTAATGAAAATCTAGGTATCACCGTTACTGTGGAAGTTAACTTGATAGTTGGGAAGAGGGGGTGTCCACATCGAAGAGGGTCTTCGCGTGAAACCAATTCCTAGGCGTCCTTTCTCCTTCAGGTCGTCTGGTCCACAGTCTCTGGGATGTCCCACTTTGGCCATTACACATTTCACGCCTCTAACAAGGGAACCCCAACAGGTCGATCCGGCCATTTGCAATGAGATGTATACATGGGCGTGTCTTGAGCCGCTGAATCCAAATCTGCCCTCCTTTTTTGCGGAACGATTCTCTGAAGAGAGTTACGGACCATTTAATCTTTGCTCTGTTGTACAAGTTGAGAAGGATAGTTGCCAGCAAGCGGCGATGGCCTAGTGGAGAAGCGCAGTGCTTCAGAGACACGAGGTCGCATGTTGGAATCCTTGACTCTTGGAATATTTTTGCTTTTGTTCAAAGCACTTCATATCAGTCCCCAGAACACTTCTGTTTGGCCAATTCACCTAAATCTCTGATTATTTAACAATAGGAAGCGGCCATTGCTCCATTTGTGGTTCCTTCCGAAAACTTTTATTATGTGGATGACCGTTTCTAGAGCTCGCATAGAGGAATGGAGATTTTACGGTATAAGAGCACATGTGGTATACTTCCACAAAATGATAGAAACAATACGAGTTCTTAAAATGAGCGGAGCAAATGAAAAGTACTCTGCACGGTACATTACAGTTCTCCAAAAATCCGGAGGGGAAGCAGTACTGAAGAGGTGTTTCGAACCCACCAGGATGTATCGAAGTATCCAGCCGAGTACCAAGAATAGATAAGAAGTTTTCAAATCAAGGTGAGCAAAATTGAGAATATATAAGAGATAATACACGGAAAATGGAGTCCCTCTGATGAATAGAAAAAAATTATATCAAGCCAATACATAAGAAGTGAAGCGTTCGTACATAGCTTTAAACGGTGAGAAGAAGTACACGTCTGAAGGTAGAATCAAAGACGTAGCACCTGGTGGAATATTGCGTAGTTTCACACATTTATTGGGTGGCAGAACAGATTCATGATCTTTAGAGGAACCCCACGCGCCGACTATGAGAAACGCCAACTGGGGGGGGGGACCCTGGAGCGGCCAGCTCACATAAATTTAAAAACTTCTTATCTATTCTTGGTACTCGACTGGATACTTCGATGTACATCCTGGTGAGTTCGAAACACCTCTTCAGTACTGCTT